TCCTGGGGAATGTTGCCAAACAAAGAGATCTGGGTGTGCACATTCATATCTCCTTGAAGGTGGAATCACAGGTAGATAGGATAGCGAAGAAGGCATCTGGTACACTGGCCTTTATTGGCCAGTGTATTGAGTATAGGGGTTGGGATGACGTTACGGCTATATAAGAATTATGTACAGTTCTGGACTCTCTGCTATAGGAAACATGTTTTTAAGTTTGAAAGAGTTCGGAAATGATTTACGAGGGTGTTGCTGGGGTTGAAGGGTTTGAGCTAAAGGGAGAGGCTGAATAGGCTGGGGCTGTTTTCCCTGCAGTGCCAGAGGCTGAGGGATGACCTTATAGCAGTTTATAAAATCATGAGGACAATGGATAGTGTGAATAACAAAGGCCTTTTTCTCAGGGTAATGGAGTACAAAATTTGAGGGCATGGGTATAAGGTAAGAGAAAAGATTAAAAGGGATGTAAGAGGCAACTTTTTCCACACTGAGGATGGTGCGTGTATGGAATGAGCTGCCAGAGGAAGTGCTGGAGGCTGGTACAATTACAGCATTTAAAAGGCATCTGGTTGGGTTTATGAATAGGAAGGGTTTAGTAAGATATGGGCCAAATGCTGACAAATGGGACTAGAATAGACATATTTAGAATATCTGGTCAGCATGGACGAGTTGGTTCAAAGGGTCTGTTTCTGTGCTGTACAACTCTGACTCTAACAGTTTAAGCTTATCTTTGCATTTGAAGAGATCAGAGAAGAGTATGTTGGAAAAGACAAATATTTACTTCATCTACTCAATGTGTTGTTGCTTAATCCCAAGGTTATTCTCTTGTATTGTTGCATGTTGAGCTTCATGAATATGCAACACTAACATCCCAGCCATTAATTTAAAAAAATATAAACGTCACTGAGGAAGGCAGCATTTGTTGCCCAACCCTAATTGCCTTTTGAAGATGTTGTCGAGCCACTTTTTGGAACCGCTGGAATACATGTGATATAGTTACACCTACAGTTGCATTAGGAGTTTACAGGTTTTGGTTTGGTGGAAATGAAGGAATAGAAATGCTAGTTTGGCCAGATGGTCTATTTGAGTGGAAGTTATAGGTGATGTTCCTATCTGTCTGCTGCCCTGTTTGGAAGTTGCTTTTGAAGGAAACTAAGTAGCGCTGCTGTAGCTGAGAAAATTATAAATCTGACTCCCAAACTTGTAACATTCACAATGCTACTTATACAATCCCACAAAATAAATGAGCCACATTTTGTGATCTGTATGGTGTATTATAGAAAGCTGTGTTAATAATCACAAGCTGGCTCGTCAGAAAGTGAAATCTCAATAGTGATAATTCAGTGAGTGGTGATTAAAAATTAATCATGATCTGATGCAAATATGATCTGTTCAGGGACTTGAAACTCAGTGAAGAAGGAAACACGATAACTATTTTACAATGGCTGTCAAACAGTAGCAAGATCTGAAATTACAGTATGTGCGCTTGAGAGATGTAACAGAAGCTGTTTACAGTCTCTGAAGGAGAGGCAGGAGTAACCTGAGCAATTCAGCTCAGTGATTCATGAAATTGTCAGCAGCTTACAAGGTATTAAATGACATTTCCAACGCAACATTTTTTTTAAATGGATGTGCAGACAACACTAGACCATCCATTTAATTTTCCTTGTACAGAAATATTGTTATAATTTCATGTTCATTTATTTTGATGGTTAAAAATTAAACAGCCAGAATTCTCCCTGAACTGAAATTTCATCTGATTTATTCTATCTCATTTGAAAAATGGTGGATTGAAGCTGACAGATTATTTAGCTGTTGGTAAAATATTTTAAAATGTGCGTTTTCCGTTGAGTGAACAGCCTATGTTGTTCTTTCTAAGCAAAAACAAACATTTTAAGCATGAAATAATTGGCAAGAGATCTTATCCGAACATGATCTCCACCCAATGTAAACATCATTTTTGTGTAGCCATTCATAATTTGTGCCAAATTACTTTATCAAAATTGAAGTAGGCACTTTAGAAGTTCCAGGTTTGATTACTCTCTACTGAGTGAGTTGGGTAGCAATAGAGAATTGTCCATTTTCTAACTTACCATTGCTGTAAGAAAAATAATTGCATTTTTATCTGGTGTATTTTACCTGCTCTGGAAGTCTCAAAGCACTTCACAAAGTATGTTTTACTTTTTATGTAAGTAAATGCAACAGGCAACTTATGTAACCAAAATAGAAATCGCAAGAGAATCTCAATAGGTCTGGCTGTGTCTGTGAAGAGAGAAGCAATGTTTGAGTGTAATATGACTCTTCCAAACTGAAAGGGAGTAGAAAATGATAGGTTTTATTCTGTTGACAAAGAGGGAGTAGAAGAGACCGGAACAGATAGTAAGGGTGTCTGGAGGCCCAGGTTCAACTCCTAGTTGCTCCAGAGATATGTAATAACATCACTGAACAAGTTGATCAGAAAATACCTAGAAAGCACCGGGAGTGCTAAGAATGGTAAAGGAGTGGTTGAGATGTATAATAGCTGTGAAAAGGAGAAAATGGGTCTGCTCTCTTGACTGCAAAGTCAACTGCACACAAATGAGATGAAGGGGTGGGGACTGTTGTAACCAAAATGGTCATATGCTGAAATTGTGAACTTGATGTTGCATTCTGAAGATTGTAAAATGCCTAAGCAAAAAATTAAGTACTGTTCCTCCAGCTTGCATTGAACTTTGTTGGAACACTGTAGCAAGTCCAGGACAGAACTGTTAGCATGGGATCAAGAAGGTTTATTGAAATGGCAATCAACTGGAAGGTCAGGGTCATTCTTGTGGTCAGAGATTGGGTGAGCAATCTTTATTTTGTGTCTCAAATGTAAAGGAAAACTGTATTTTGAGTAGCAAGTACTATAGACTAGATTGCAAGAGCTACAAGTAAAATGCTCCTTCACCTGGAATGTACATTTTGGGCTTTCTTCAGCGAAGAAGAGAGGGTTGATAGGGCACGTTTTCCACCTGTAGTTGCATGAGAAGGTGCCAGGGGTGTAAGGATGTCTTAGGAGTAATGGAGGAGTGGACCACGGTGTCAGAAGGAGCGCTTTCTGCGGAATGCTGAGACTGGTTGGGAGGGGAAGATGTCCTTGGTATCGCTGGAGATGGTGAAGATGATGGGGTGGAAAGTGAGCATAAGGGGAACTCTCTTGTTACTTTGGGAAGGAAAGTACAGAAGGGTGAGGGCAGAAGTGCAGGAAATGGATGAAACGTGGCTGGGAGCTTTGATAACAACTGCAGTGAGGGGAATCCTTGTTTGAGGAAAAAGGAGGACATGTTGGAGGCAGTTCTGTGGAAGGTGACATCATCAGACAAAAGTGACTGAGAAACTGGGAAATGAAATGGTATCTTTTCAGGAAGCAGAGTGTGAGGAACTGCAGTCAAGGTAACTGTGGGAATTGGTAGGCTTGTAATGGATGTGGTGGATAGCCTATCCCCAGAAATGAAAACAGCACAGTCAAGGAAAGAGGCAGATGGAGCTAGTGAAGGTAAGAGAAGGATGGAAATTCGAAGTAAAATTAGTTATTCTTTCCAATTACAGATGAGAGGGGAAGCACTGATGACATTGTCAGTATATTGGCAAAAGAGTTGTGGGCAGGGCCTGAGTAGGGCTGGAACAAGGAATGTTCTACATGCTTTGCAAAGACAAGCATACTTGGGACCTATGTGGGTCCCCATAGCCACATCTTTGACTTGGAGAAAATGAAATGAATTATAGGAGAAGTTATTCAAAACGAGACTGAGCCCAGCCAAGCGACGGAGGGTGATGGTGGCTGGGCACTGTTCACTGGGTTGGAATGTGTAGTCTGTGGATTTTGGGAAGAAGGTAGAAATGAGCTGTGCAGGGTGGGGTCTGAGGTGAGAAGTTATAGAGAGGTGATCTCCTAAGGAGATGAGGTAATTGGACAGTTTGATGTTCAGTGGTGGGGTTATGGTCTAGGAGGGCATTAGCAATTTACTTAAGATCCTAGAAGCAGTAACTGCAATTAATGATCAGTTTATCTTACTTTTGGGATGTAAATTAAGGGATGAATTTGGCCTGGGCCAAAGATCTGAAAGAACTCCTCCTGTTAAATAGTGTTACAGAATCCTTTGCAATACCTGAATAAGAAAATGTAGCTGCAAGGTGAAAGGAACCGGTTGACAATGCAGCATTTCTTCAATATTCTAATGAGAAGTGTAACTTTTAACTGTGTTCAAGTCCTTGGGGTTTGAAACCACAAGAAGTGAATAAGACTGTCGCCAGCTGGGCCAAACTGATACTTTAAGAGGATTAGAATTGTGTAGCGTTCCTGCTTTAATTATTTCCCAATCTCCCACTAGAAAGTGCACATGTACAGATTTCTGGTATAATACATGTTTTGACTTATCTGTAATTCCCCTAATACCACCATGAAATAGCTAATGTTTGTTGTCCACATTCACCCGTGAAGACTAACAATTTGGGGAAAATGCAGCAGTCACCTCGAGTAGGAAAGAAAAAAAATATATTTTTCTGCATATAGCCTTGAGTTTGAGTGAGTAGTTGTGAGCTCTTGCAAAAGCAAAATACTGTGGATGCTAGAAATCTGAAATGAAAACAGAAACTGCTGAGAATACTCAGATCCAGCAGTATCAACTGTGGGGAGAGAAAGATTTAATGTTTCAGGCATATGATCTTTCAGCAGAAATTCCCACTTCTGCTTAGAACGCTGACAATCATAGAATCCCTACAATGTGGATGTAGGCCATTCGGCCTATATAATCCACACCAACCCTCTGAAGACACCCCTCCCCGCTCCCCAAACCCTGTCCCTGTAAACCTGCATTTCCCATTGTTAATCCACCTAGTCCGCACATCGCTGGACATAATGGGTAATTTAGCATGGCCAATCCACCTAACCTGTACACCTTTGGACTATGGGAGGAAACTTGAGCACCTGGAGGAAACTCGTGCAGACAATAGGAGAATATTTCCAGCATCTTCTGTTTTTAAACTCCTGATTGTGCTGTTATAGGCAAATATGAGCCTTATCATTTTAATTTAATATTGCAGTTTAGGCTTAGTAAATATGAAGACTGACAAACATAAAGATCTTGAATCATTCTGTTTTGCTGTGATAAATAATGGAACATTCTCACCTTCTTGCAAAGGATCTCACTGTACTATTTGAAGAGCAAATTAATTCTCACTGGCCCAGGCATTGTTTGTTCCTCATTCTGCACCAACAAAAGACACTAACTGATTATTTATCTAGTTGATATTCTTTGGCCCATATCTTGGGCAAACTATTCTATTAAATATATCTTTTGTAGCTTTTCACCTACTTAGCTGAAATGCAATTCCCCAACCTCCTTTTGACACATTCTCCTAGTGATCCTGAAAGCCCAGTGCCATCAAATTGCATTTACGTAGCACCTTTTAAAGGTGAAAATGTCCCAATATAGTGATAATGGTGATGGTTTTGATTAGGAGGAGTGGGGAGAAATGAGAGAGAAACACAGACAAGAAGAGGATCAAGACATGCCATGGGCTGCAAGTCTGTGAGGGGCTTTTGAAGAAGACAAAGACTTTGCAAACAGGAACTCAGAGGTTAAAGAGGATGGGATTGATAGGTGAGCAAGATTTTGTGCAGAACAAGATATGTTGAGGTTGAGCTTTTGATGTACAAGGCAAAACAGCATTGAATCCTTACTGAAGCAGGATCTTATGGCCCCAAAGACATAAAGCAGAAAGATTGTCAAGGTTAATAGGGGTGGGAGAAGCAGATGTCCTTAAACTGATACATATTGCCATTTTCAGCCATAATAAATGGTATAGAACTCCTACAGTTTTTACATTACACATTTTGATTCCAATTAATCAAAGCACTTATGTTATTTAATTTTTTTGCATAAGACTGAAGATAGAAAATCTTAAGATAGTACATTGAGACTTGTAAATTGTGGACACTGAAGGGAGGGACATCAGCTGTGCCTTTTTGCAGATGTCCTTTAATACAAACTTGTATGTACCTTGCGGGGTGGGGGAACAAAAAGTGAATGAATGGTAAGTTTATTATACAGTATCCATTGCACCAGAGTAACTAGTCTATTTATGGGATTAAGTTCATTAAGGCATTCACCCTCCAGATGGAATTTATGGTGTTCATGTGCAATTTAGTCCATGCTTCTGCTGTTCCTACTGAGACATTCATTTGTTTATTCTTCTATCTGTCTCTCTGACTCATTTATTGGCATGCACGATCCACATTGCAGTAATCGCCAAAATTTGTCCGCTTTGCTTGGTGCAAGAAAAAATTATTGGCTAAAACAAAATTTCTTTCAGCTTCAAACGCTGCAGAGTGAAAACACCACCCTCAGGCGGCAGGTCACTACGAATATCTATCAAGTTCCCAGTTCAGAATACCCAGGTCCCTCCAATCCTTCGTCCTTAAAACGGCGCCCGTCTGCACGTGGCAGCCGGCCTATGTCCATGTATGAGACTGGCTCTGGTCAGAAACCCTATCTCCCAATTGGGGACATCACATACCCAGAGGACAGTATTGCAGGACTTCAGCCCTTCCCTCAACACGTAAGTAAATCAGCATCAGCTCTGGTAAGCAACTTATGCTTTTTTTTTCTCCTTTTCCTCTTTGTCTTAAGTTCTAATTTTCCTTTCTAGCTTGCAAACACTGTCTTGTGAATTTTTGTCCTTTTTCTTGTTTTATTCCTTTTATTGCAAAGCTAAGATTTGTTTTAATTATTGAAAACACCTAGTTGAATATAAATGACCCAACTGCACCTTGGCCTTTTGCCCTTAGACCTTGTTCCTTTCAATACTGTTATTCCAGCCCTGTTGTGCTCATATCATTGTCGCATTTGAAATGGAAAGGAATAAAGACTAAGGTCTTTGCCTAAACGTTATCACCATTTGGTCAAATAAAGTTACAGTGGAGGACAAAACACCTCCTTGAAGCACTAGATGACATACAAGTATTATAGAGGTCAGGCAGCATTTCTGAAGAGAAACAGTTAACATTTCAAGTCCGTTCACTTCACTAGAAACATCTATGAATAGTCATAGACCTGAAACAGTAGCTGGTTTTCTCCACTGATGCTGCCTGACCTGCTGAGTGTTTCCTCAGTTTTCTGAATTTATTTCAGATTTCCAGCCTCTCTAATGCTTTGTTTGTGCAAGTATTGTGGCATTGAGTTAAAATCACAAATGTCCAATGAATTATGATCTTGAAACAAATAGGTCATTTTGACAGATCAAAGATTAAGCTTCTCTATGATGATTTCAGTTTGTGCATTAACCATTAGGGCGATTTTGAGCAAATCAAGACCAGACATGCCTCAGTTGCATAGGTCGGATACTCTTACCCAACATTGAGTCGGTGTGTTGGAAACTTCAGTGGTTGAGGATTGAATTGGACTTGGGACTGGTGCTCTCTTAGGATATTTGATGCATGGGCAGTGATAAATTGAGCAAAGGTTTAGAATCTGTGTCTTCAGAAGAGAAATGACAGAAAGGTTGAAAGCTGAAGAGGAGGAAACAAGTCAAATTTTCACAGCTTAATTTTTAATAATCTAAAATATTGAAAAGCCCTCAAAATAAATATGTATATATATAGATATGTATATATTGAAATACTTTGTTAAATAATCCGCTGACACTTTGTCTCTGTTTTTGCAAATAATCAGTGTAATACCTCATTTAATATTTCTAATATAAATATTAAAGATATCTTGCAGTCTGGAAGGTATGACAAAATGTTTTGAATGTTTAAGGTTGTCAAAGTATTACTTTCATTGATACTCCTATTTATGTTTCTAATGTTGCAGGTTGAATCCCCTCTGGGATGGTCTGTAAACTTGCTACATTATTGTGCAAACAGGGAATGCAATGTAGTTGTTGGTACCGCTGTTCTTTTTTGCATGATAGAATATATCCTTAGTTATTGAAGCTTTAAATATTAAATGAAAAAATATTCCACTCATTATATTTTAAGGCTACATTAAAATTTAATGGAGCCTGAGAGGGGTGTTAATGTTTTTTGGTTTGGACACCTGGTTTTTGACAGTGATGCCAACAGCATGGGTTCAATTCCTGCACCAGCTGAGGGCACTACAAAAGGCTTTCCTCAACTTCTCCCCTTGCTTGAGGCATGGTAACCCCCAGGGTAAAAAACCAATCATCTCTCTATAATGAGCGAGCAGCCCTATGTTCCAGTAGGACTATGGTGGCCCTGCCTTTACCGTTTTTGAGAAACTTGCTTGAATTCAGACTGTTCAGTAGGGAATATTGAAATATACTCAAAATAAAAGAAATTGTTAAACTAAATGGAAAAATGCTCAGATCTGTATTTATGCTTAATTTGGATATTTGTTTGAGCATGGAATATCCTTCCCATACTTCTTTGAAGCTTCTGTTCCACAGGCTTTGAGTAAGAATGAGTTTCACTAAACTTTTTCAAACTACACTTTTTAAAGTTATTTGTGTTCAAATACAGAATGATCATGAATTTAGTAATATTTGAACATGTACTTTGTGTAAAATTACACACAATGATAAAATCCACTGTGCAAGCTCTGCCAGCGCTTGGGAGACTATCTCACTCGTATTTTAATCCCAGCCCTACAATATTTTTTCCACTTTTAGATTGGTGTAAATTTTTTAAATTAAAGACAAGTTGTGTTTTATGTTTTATTGTCCATAAATTTATAAAATGGTAAGGCACATTAGTGGCCCAGTGTAAAATTTACTCATCTGAGGCAATTAGATCCAAATACTATTGAAGTCCTAATCTTTGAATTGAACCAGAGTAAACTAAAGGTAAATGGCCACTGATGAAATACGTGAATTTTATCTTTGAAAGTCCAGCTAATTTATTAAATAAGCATTTCTACAAGTCACCAAAGTACCATTCTTAGTCCCTAACTTAATTTCAGAGATGCATGAGAGATTTTGTTTTCAGTGTGAAGTCTTGTTACTTTTAAACATTGACTTACTGAATTATTTGGTTTGTAGGTATGCCAAGTAAAATCTTAATTCTTTCAACAGTTCCATGTTCAATAATCATATTTCATACAATTTAGATTTTGTCATTTGTAGCATAGTATTAGGTTTTTTGTCATGAGTTGTCCCACTAATATACTAAGTTAACCCAAAATCATAGTTTACATGTCATATTTTGAATATCCTGGTTTTGTTCATTCCTCATTAGAGGGAGCATGTGGTCTCTTGAGTTCATAAGCTTTATTGCAGTAATGGGAAGTGTGCCCTTCTTGAATTCGTTATTGTTAGTACTCCTGTAATTTTTGTTTTAAAATGTTGATTTTGTTTTTAAAATAAAAATAGATGCACACATATTTGATGTAATTAATCTCAAATTTGAGTCATGTTAAATTTGACCATTTAATTAAGTAGTTATTCTTCCAAAAGATGTTGAATCTTAGCTTCAGTTGCAGCGTGATTTACACTAGCAGTGATATTATAAAGCCAACCATGATGGTGCCAAATAAAAGATTTCACACAGAATGTGTTCTGACCCTGTTTCTAACTAAATAGTCGGGCAAGGAAGAAATCAGCAAATGTAACTGCATAATCTTTTAAGAGCATTGAGTTAATTCAGAGCAATGAACTTTAGTGAATACATTTGATGGGAAGAACTTTGGGTGGATGAGAAACTTTTATACTGTCCTTAATGTTTTAATTGGCATTTGTTTTTGCAATGTTACAATTTGAACAGGTAACCATGCTTACTGCTTATTCAGTTAAAATAACTTGTTCATTGTGTTTTGTAATTTATTTACACTTTAAAACCTAGTGAAAACTTTATTAAGGAAAGTTCCTGCGTAAAAACTTGGCATACCTATAATTTGGCAATTCATGGAGTCCGTCTCTCTTTTGTTATGTTTTTCTCGTGTTTAATTTTTGCCGGAATGTTTCTTCTTTCCCCTTTCAGATTGGGAGGAGTGCCTTTGTGACCTCCTCTTCATCTTTACCTTCCTTCCCTTCCACGCTTTCCTGGTCCCGGGATGAGAACACCCGAAGGGTTAAGTACCTTCTCACTTGGTCTGTATGTAGGGAGGTGGTGACCATCGCAGTGTCTGTTGCTACCTCTTCCCACTTATTTGGCCTGCTCCTTTTGCTTCACCTCTGCATGAATAGTCACTTTCACTGGAGTTTCCCTACTGATTGCATATTTCTGATTATTCTTCTCTACCTTTACCTTTACTTTAAATTTTTCAAGTTATTAATCCTGCTTGCTCCGAAACCACAGGTTGCAGTGCACACCTAGCTTAATTAGTCTTTCAACAATCAAAACTTGACCCTTTGCTACAGTGCAAGAATCCGATCTCAATTCAAAAGATACTATCAAGCTATCCTGATGATTAGTTGGTGAACTCAGTGCTCAGTGTTGTGTAGACCATATAGAGCAGGCATATCCTGAGTTCAATCTCTGGCCTCTTCTCAAATTAGCTCATTTCAACAAGAATACAACTGACCTTCACGTGGGATAGAAAGTGAAAATAAAAGGCATGAAATCCTGCATTTTAGCTGGCATATATATTTTTATGGGGATGAAGAGTGTTGGGTGATGACTGGATTTAAACTCGACTGCAAACACTGCCTGAGTTCAAAAATGAAGAATGGCCACTTGGGCAAGGGACTGAAATACTACTTGTGCCCATGGAGCCAGAATCAGCACATTTGAGAAGGGATGTGAGAAATTTGAATAAGAAGCTTTCACTATAAGTATAGAGGCTATAATTTTTTCCCAATTTTCTCCCCACCCCGCTCCTGCAGGCTCTGATTCCTTGATGTCGTATGAATCCATGAGCACTGGTCGCTTTTTAGTACCACATGGCCATTTTACACGTGTAAGCCTTGACGTTGAACATTGGCAAGCATCGCAGCCAAACCAATCTTATCATTACCCAAAGTCCACACTTCAAACATGGATCGTTGGATATTGATCAGAAGCAAGAACCTTAGGTGGTACCAAATCCAGACACTGAGGACACTTAGCACCCAACCTCCATGCTGGCTGAGATCAGCTAAATTATAGTTCAGGGATAGAATGTCTCTCTACGCACTGGATTAACATACAGCCTTCAGAGGAGCTCAGCTGTAATGGTTTGCACTTGTAAAAGGGAAATAACATTTGAGTTATTTATGCCAAATATGCTGATTCAGCAATTAATGGCTGAATTTGGAAGGGTTATGTGTCTTTTCATAAAATAAAGGATATGTTCCTGGTGGCTTATATATGACATTCTGAAATTAATTTAAATAAGTGGTCTAAAACGAATGCAGGGTACAGATTTTCAGTGTTCAACATTCTTTTCGCACCCTCACAAGCTAACCTGGAAATCACATTGCTTTTCCATTGGGTTAAAATTAAAATAAACGAAATCCATTTTTTTATTGCAATGCTCTGTAGTGCATGTGAATCGGGATCTTTGTGCAACTTGGTTGCTGTACAATGAGATGAGAGCTTTCAGAAGAAGATCACAATTGACTTCAAAAGCTTGCTCCATTTTCTAATGATGCTTCCATCACTAAGGTGTTTTTGGACTTTAGTAATGCTTTCAATGAACTGTGACTGGCTGCTGGTGGGACAGAAGGAGCCCTTGAGAAAGTACCAATTATTTATCCACCAAAGATTTTACAACCCAATACCCTAGTGGTGGTGATTGTGGCATCTTAAACCAGATGGGTAACTATTTTCAGTGCTTCATTCTAATAATCTGGGAGTATTGTGAAAATTGAATTGCCATAAGCTACTGAACTTCACTATAATTTCCAAGCAGATACCTGGATGAACTGACAATTTTTTTGTCTCGATGAATTATATTTCAATACTCCTTCTTGGGCAGTCTATTTTGTGAAGACCGTACCAGCCACAGAGTCATTAGCATCCTGTCTTGAGCATGGTCTAACTTACCTCACATTGTAGCATGTATTCACTTTTTAAATCTACTGGTTCAAAACAAAAATAAATTCTTTTCTTCCAAAGTCAGATTGTGCATTGTTTTAAACATTAATACTTGAACAGAAAGCTGATTCATGCTGAATGTTTGTTTTTCTTTGTTGTGCGCTGGAACGATGTGTTAATCAAACACTGCTAATATTGTCGAAATTCCTATGTGTGAGTGTCAGTTAAAATTTGCTATGTATAAGTTTGAGAAGCATGAACACAGTTGAGTCCAGTTATAAATGTCTTAGTTTAATGATAACTTTCTCTTCAAAAGGTTTGTTTAAAAATAGTTTGAATTCAACTAGAATGAGAAGATTTACTTGCATTTAAAAAACCCCTGATTAAGTTGATATCTATTGTGATTAGTAGAGCGTCTCAATCTTAATTGTACAAATATAAAAAGGGGTTTAAAATGTGAGAAGTGATAAGTGGTTCTTAAAATTTGACCTTATCAGAGGGGCAATGTAAGCCTCCAAGTTGAGCACTGTTTTAAACCCGCCCCCCTCGAATCTTCAGATTCCCCTCCAACCTTACAACCCTCTGCAATGCTTGTATTCCTCCAGTTTGGATTCTTGAGCATCCCAATTATCATTTTACCATTGGCAGCTATGCCTTCAGCTGCCAAGTCCTGATGTTCTAGAGTACGCTGAAAACCCCATTACTTCTCTTTCTTCTAAGAAACTCCTTCAAAAGTCTACACCAGCTCCTATACCAAACCTTCTGTAGCTTGGGTGTCAAATTTTGTTTTAATACTATTCCAGCAAAATACCTTGTGATGTTTTATGTTAAAAGTGCTAAATACATGCATGTTGTTCAGGTGCAAACTGCATTTTGGCTTTCATTGCTTATAATGATTTGATTTACTGGGGATCATTTGTGCTCTAAGTGTAAACTGTAATCTTTATGTGGAAATTTTCTGTTGAGAAATGTACCGCTACAAAATTTATCCTTTATGTTGTGGAGCACACAATAGATCCTTTGAATACAATGCAAACTCATGGTAGATAGGAGAAGCAAAGATTCCCTCTTACTTACACTGCCTCATTACTTTTTCGCCCAGCCCAGCCCCTACCCCGCTTTATCTAATTATATTCAAATTGCAATACCAAAACTTAATTCAAAAGAATAACATAGTTTTGTTTCACATTTTTAATTTAAAAATGGAAAAATTAAATTATTCTGTCTTTTAATCATAAATGCATTGCTTTACTTTTGCTTAGTTAATAACTTCCAGCACTTTTTTTTCTTCATTACTGACTGCAAATATTTTGCATGTATATTTCTTGAGTTCCTGTCTGAATCAGGACCTTGTATCACCTAATAGTTATCAATGTGTATGAACGTTTGAGGAATCACTATACTTTTTGTATCTTGGGATTTGTTTCAACGTCTTTAGGCATCAAAACTCGAGAAACAGAACAGCATGCCGGACAGTGACTACGATAACGCAGCAAATGACTTGGAGCCAGATGAGGCTGGGTATGGATTAAGTATAGCACAATACCATGGAGAAGATCTGCGTGATTGTCTACATATAATAAGTAGATTCAAAATTGCTTATAGATAATATCCAAACCCTATATGTCAGTCTTGTGAAAGTTATTCACCCCGCCACCTCTTCAGGAATAATCTGTGAATATATGACAGTTAAGCTAAAGGACAACTTCTTGTGGGGTAATAAAATCCATGTTTGAGATTCCAAAAGGAATTTCTAACAATATGAATGTTATGCTTTTTAGCCTATTTGGAAATTCCATTGAAATGCTAATAACACTTGCCAAAAGATTTTTCAGTTCATCCTCCACTACATAATTCTTAGAAATGAAATATATATAATTTAAGGTATCCTTAAGGTGATTGAATGTTAGAATGAGACTGAAGTTCTGATCACAATCAGAAACACTGGTTTGAACAACTTTAGTCGGTTTTGATATTACGCGTGTTTCTTTAACAGAAATCTGTTTTAATGCAATTGAAGAATTATAAAATGCTACTTGTAGAACACAGACTTTCCCTTCTGTATCGGCTTTAATGCAATTCTGTCCCCATCACTTTAAATGTCATGGTTATTGCACGATTTTCTTATAACACAAGATTACACGAGAATGGAAGATCGCGTTATATCAGAACTGACTATAATTGTCAAATTACTGAAGTAATTATGTGGACCCACATTTTTATGTCTCAGATTCCTCTTTGAATTTTTAATGTTTTTTTTAACGTTATGATTGAAGTGCAGTATGTCATATCAGTGTCATGGGCTGTCGATAGAAATGCACATATCAGCAAATTAAGTTCCAGTTTGTAACCAGACAACAGCAGTTGGAGATAAGGGTGTGACTCACTGAAAAAGTAAGAATCTGAGGAAATGATGTCTGTGAAGCTTCTTAGAATCCCTATAGTCTAGAAAAAGGCCATTTGGCCCATCAAGTCTACACCTACCCTGCAAAGAGCGTCCCACCTTATCCCCATAACCACACATATTCCCCCGCAAATATCCCACAGCTAATCCAGTTAGCCTGCACATCTTTGGACTGTGTTGAGGAAACCGGAGCACCTGGAAGAAAACCACGCACATATGGGAGAAGGTGCAAATTACACGCAGTCACCCAAGGCTGGGACAAAACCGGGTCCCTGGTGCTGTGAGGTAGCAGTGCTAACCACTCTGCCACCCTTTTGTACCCTTTCAAAATTAGAGTGGAACTGATTAATGCCCGATGGATCACCAGACTACCTTCAAGATTAGGAAGGAACCAAGTTAAAAAAGAAATTGCCCTTTTATACACAGAGACAACAAGAATCTGGATCTGTTTGGTAACATTAATGGCCAGTCAGTGTTTTGGGGGCAATGGTGATTAAATATTGCCTCAATGTTTTGATTCTTAGTGCTAGAATATTTTCAAGATAAATAATTCTTTAGAAATAAAGATGATATACTTGAGTGTTAAGGTACAAGTAGAGTAAAGCCCACTTTTTAAAATATGAAAATGATCGTTGGTTCCTAACAAATGATCTTCAGCCTAGAAAGCACTTCAAAAAGCTGCCACTTCCTAAATGTTGCAGCTATTACCTCTGAATATAAATGACTTCCTCTCCAAGCCTCTAGGGTAGAAAAAACCCGTTGAGTCAGAATGTACCTTTTCAGTGCCTCTTGGGAAGACAAAGCAATGTTGTTGGCAGGAATAGGTGGTTTAGTTGATGGTGACTGCTGTCTTAGGTTTAATATGAGATGCTAATATGCATTACTGCCTTTTCTTCTAAGAAAGCTTCAGTTCATGTATCAAAATTTGCAATGTAATAAAGACATACTTGATACTATCAAAACAGGATCATACTATTCATGTGAATAGAATGTTACTCCACTCTTATAACAGTGTTCTCCAACTGTAAGTGTTGATGAGAATATTTATGAATAATTCATTTTGAAAGATGATCAGTATATTTGAGTTTCTACCTGAGAGGAGAGTATAAACCTCCATTAAAACAAATTCCCTATTTTGTTTCTCTTTGCTTAATGTAAGCTCTTGCCAAAAGGGTAAACTAAAAAGCATTGGACGGTATGAAGAAACCCCAGTACTAGACCTGGACAATCCAGATGCAGAACCAGATTCCACTCTCCCAAGCACAGAGGATGTAATTCGAAAAACAGAACAAATCACCAAAAATATTCAGGAGTTGCTGCGAGCTGCACAAGAAAACAAGCACGACAGGTAAGTCTGTGTTTATTTTGTATGAAATTTTATGCTCAAGGAGCATGTGGTTGGTAATTTAGTTGGTAGAGATGTGGAGCTGTATGTTGTAAGTGCATATGTGGATGCTGATGCCATGTTTACAGATGTTGATGAAGCAGAGAGGGTCCAATGTTGGGAATTCTAGAAGTGATGGTACATCAGTTGGAAGAGCATTCTGATTGTGACCTAATAGGTAAGTGTGTGGAACCATGTGAGGGCCATCTGACTGAGATGGAAACTGATTTGGCAACGATGCCTGTGGTCAACAGTATTGAAGACTGCTAAGAGGTCAAGGAAGAGGAATACACCGAACTGAGGATGTTATCTGAGAATTTACTTAGGTCCTTTGGATCTTTTGCATGGAGAGAAATTTGATTGCCGAGATTCAAATAGAGTTGCAGGCAAGGATTTTGGTGGCAACAACCCAAAGATGTTGGAGAGGAAAGAGGGTGGAGATGGGAGCAGTCATTTCCAAGGACAAGATGATCAGAGGTGGGTGGTTGTTTGACAACAGTGGCCACCACCAACAGACAGATGACATTCCATTATTCTGGACTGGATTTGAACCTGGATCCTGCAATAAAAGCAGTGACTTTACCACCATGCCATTCAGTTTCAAAATGTTTTGTCCTATCACTAAAACAATGAACAAATCGTTGCATTTATGTAATAGCTTAAATTAATGTCACCTAACCCTTTAGGATTTGTCTGTAATTTATGTATTTCCCATGTATATCATTAAGAAAAGTGGAATTAGTTTTGCTTGTGTGCACACAATATCCAAGTTTCAGCTCAGTAATGCCACTGTGTTTTGTGATTTGATAGTTGCATTAAGATAGTATTAAGGAGCTATTGTCATCATTACTCTTTAAAATCATCCAGCTCAATACAGGATGAATGTTCTATGAATTTCCTTTCTTTTTAAACCCCCTTAATTTTCTCCTCCCTTCTTCACCTGAGGTGCTGGTTGACATGAACAATTTTACCAGTACTGATGATCATAAGACATAGGAACAGAAGTAGGCCATTCAGCCTGTCGAGTCTGCTCTGCCATTCAATGAGATCATGGCTGATCTGATAATCCTCAAGCCCCTTCCTGACTCTTCCCTACTGATTTAAAAATCTATGTATCTCCGCCTCAAGTATAATTAATGCAGCCTCAATAACGCTCTCCTAAAGAATTCCACAGATTTGACTACCCCAGGACTTTACCCAAATGAATATTCATTGTGTGTTTTTCTTCTCAAATTTTGTCATATTATGGGCTTTGTTCCTTGATCTTTTATTTCGGTTTTTGAATATTTCTCCCTGAACTTGGACATCAGTTTGATTGTAGAAAATGCTGGTTCTCCATTAGCAGTTCTAACACAAGTGCGTACCTGTTTACTGCTCCTAGCTTCTTTGCTGAGAGTGGACTTCTGGCTAGATTGTGCTTTCACAAATTACTTCTAGTACCTCACCTAAATAACCATAATTTACATGTCAATCTTGAAAGTGAATTGCTATGAAATTAAGCCACTGATGCTGAAGCTGGGTGCAGTCCACAAGCGCACGTACTCTTAACAGAGATCACTGGATACTTAACAGGAGAGGGAATTGACTCTACAGAAGAATTGGCCTAGACCTTCTTGGATGTTCATCTAGTCACAAAATAATCTTGCCATGTCATTAGGCAAGCTGTGTGGCATTTTTTATTCTATTCTTCCCAACCCAGTGGTTAACTGTAGCTATTTCTACATTATTCCCCAGTTAAGATCATTTAAGTGGATTCAAACCCAAGATTGTTCACATCTATGTGGGTTTTACAACAACAACAAACAATTTATTTACGTATTAAATCATCAAAAAATGTTGTGTTCATGATATTGGGGAATAATGGCTTCAGAACCTACTGAACCTAGCCTGAGGGAACTAAACTGGTATTAGAATAAAAATATAATAAAAATATAAGCTGTTAGAGATAACATTTCAAATTTGATATGACTCTCCCCAAAGAAAATTCATATCTGTCTTGAAGCATCGACTTTCTGTCTACAGAGTCTGTCAGAGTTCCTCTAGCACTTGCAGTATTTATTTAAAACTTCTAGCATCTGTATAATTTTTCTTTGATAGTTGAACAGATTATTAGTTTTAGCTAAGCATGTGATCATCAATTTTTGGCACCAAACATGTATAAACTAACATTCTAGCCCATCAGAGATAGTAGGAACTGCAGATGCTGGAGAATCTAAAATAACAAGGTGTAGAGCTGGATGAACACAGCAGGCCAAGCAGCATCAGAGGACCAGAAAGGCTGATGTTTTAGACTTAGACCCTCCTTCAGAAAATGAAGAAGGGTCTAGGCCCGAAATGTCAGCCTTCCTGCTCCTCTGATGCTGCTTGGCCTGCTGTGTTCATCCAGCTCTACACCTTGTTATTCTAGCCCATCAAATGTATTAGATGCCTAAACTTTCCTCCTGTAATTTGTTCTGGCCTAACAGTCCACTAACTAATTGCTGATTCAATGTTTTTAAAGTCTGTATATGTTGACATGAGGCACAGATGCGTCTTGTTCCATCAGTGTCTTTTATAGTTGTTTCAGGAGTTCACATTCACCACTCTCTCTCATTATTAATGCTCTTTTAGAAACATTTTACAAAGTGGATCTGAATCTATCACTAAGTTTGCAATGTGTGTCTGGGTATATTGGGATTGTCAGACTGGTGTGTGTTCCACTGTCTGCTACATTCCACATTGGTTTTTCACTTGAAGTCTTTCATTTTGCTTTCATTCCACGTGTAATTTGATTTCATTTGTACAATCACTTCTTTCTTCTTCTTTCCTTTTCTCTTCCCCTTTTGCTTCCAATCCCCCTCTTTCCCTCCATTCCAGCAGACAGATTGAACGGGAGAGCCTGCGCAAATTCAGGCACAGCCTTGGCTGTTTCAGTACATTGGTTCTGCGGGCCGACAAAACTTCCCTTCAGCCTCTGACCCTGCAGCAGCAGCCTGACCCTGCCACCTGGTACTCTGACCTCTGTCTCTGCCTCCCAGGCACTCCATCTTTTCTCTTCTTCCCTGCATGATTGTCACTGTGGTTTGTTAACAAAAGTAATGAGCCTAGTGGAAAGAAACTAAAATACAGTGGCCACAACAAAAATGATATATGGATGCTGATCATATTAAAACAATTCATCCCTATTTGATTTGCATAATGAGTTGACTATGTATTAAAATGCCAAGTTATGTACATTATAATGGCTACAAAGAGAGTCTGTTTGGTTGCAGCTTTCCACTCAGTTCATAAGTGCAGTGTGTAGTATATAACTGAGCAATAAAACAAGAAAATTTCAGAGCTAGTTCTCTGGTCTGTGCTGACTTGGCTCACCCCATCTAAAAAGGAAGAAACAAAAATCGGCAGTGTTTTTCACCCTAATTGCCTACAGCGGTCTCTGCTAGGAAGTGTACTTGTTATTGTCAGGTGACAAGATGGGATTTAGCTGTGATGTCTGATGCTTACAGTCAGAGTCAAATGTGGTCAGTTGTATGAAATAACACAATAGAGGTGGGAAAACTTGAACACTTTTTTCTGTCTAGTTACTGTCAATCAAAGTAATTTATTTCCACATTTTGTGATGGAGTGTACCTTTTTTAGTGTCGGCATTGTCTGTACACCAGATTCCAAAACCTTCCCAAATTGACACACACATCCTTTAGTTATTGCAGTGACCTCTGAAAAATATGACTTTGACTACCTAGAAAGTAGGCTTTGTAATTTGTTTGGATTTAAAGGTGTGCACCTCCCTGTTAGCCTAATAAGTAAATGAATTGTCTGGTAAGGTATTGAACCATGCAGAGTTAGAAGATCCTTGATCGGATCTCCTGTGTTTTGTTATCTCATCTCAGCTATGACAACATTAGGAGTTCTTCAACTGACTTCGTTCTCACAAAATTAGGGTAGGGTGGGAATATCAACAAGACTTCTGAGATCTTGCTGGAAACTTTGTATATTGAATGTTAGACAAGAAAAGGATCAATGCTGTGCTCTGATGGTCCGAGAACTTCCTATACTACTTCCACACTTGCACATGAAGAATGGCTGGCTATATGGGAGAAGTGTTGTGTGGTTGATGGAACTCAAAGGCATGATGTGTTTATATTGAGAAAATAGGATTTAAAAAAAAGTTTCTTAAAAAATCCATGCCCAGTTATTTTTAAAATAACCGATTCGATGTACTTAAATAGATTTACAATATGTGTAACTCTTGTCAATCCTAAATATGCCTCCTAACATTTTCCAAGCTTTGACTTTCTGCATAATTGCCAACACAACGTTGGCTTTTGAATTCAAAAAGCACCCATATTCAAAGATTTATTTGAACAGTTAGATGCGAACGTGGTTAGTTTCTCTTTTTGGGAGAGAATCTAGTAGCTTGACAGAGAAAATCGACTCCAGTCAGTGGCCTGCGTCGAGTCAGATTTCCCTCGCTGAATGATACATGCTTGTAAACAAGTCTTCTGCTGTCTAATCTGATCTGTACATTGCATAGATTGAGTTTGGATGAAGATGGTAATAATTTAAGAAATTAACTTGAAAAAAGGAAGAGTTTAGTGGGTCAAAATCAGGATATTGCAAATGTTTTACACTAAAGTTTCTATTAAACCCTTCATTAATCCTTGCAGTCTGAATACCAAGTCCCTCATTTTACAAATAGGGACTGGGAAGTTGAGGTATGAATTACTTATTTATTTTGTTCTTTACTGATTTTAGATCACCCTGTACCACTTCTTGTAGACCAGTCATTTATCTTAATTTTTAGTTTGGTCAAAAATGTTTGTGATAAAAGATTGACTTTTTCAATTTGAGTTTAGTGTGCAACCTAATGTCGCTTTACTGAATAAATTGTTGTTAATACTTCATTTTAAAAAAATCTCTCCCTCTTTAAAATCCCTTTTGGTATTTTTTCAATAAGTTTTAAATCTTGCTAATTCCTAGTCTCCTAGGAAGAAGTGGAAGGAAGGGAAAAATCTGATAGCAAAGCAATGCATTGATATGCTTGTGCATTTTCATATGAGAGCCTGCTTCTCTGGAATATGCTTGACGAAGAACTGGTTATTTTTAATATGAATCTAGGAAGATGAGCGAAGGGACTCTGAATCATGCCTGATTCTATCCTTGCCCAGTGTACGAAAATAAAACTGATCAAATGGATGGCAACTTAGAACCCTCATCAAGGAACATGCAAGCATGTTAGGTTAAATCAACCACTCTACATAGGTTGGTATATCCAACGTGGCTCTACACTGTACAGTGAAATGTCACACAGTCATTTAGTCACCAAACTGTTAGAGAACCCATTGCCATTATTGGAGAAGAAATTTAAAAGTATGTGAATGTTCATCCTATTTAGAAAGTGAAAGTGAATATTAATACAGAGGCCATTACCACAATTTCATTAAATATATAACATAGCAGGAAGGCCTAAATCTTCTGCTTTTGCCTGCTATTTGGCTGGATATATTGTAGAACCTTGTCCACAAATTCAAATCTGTGTTTCCTTAAATCCTAGGATAGTACCTACTATTTAAAATTATCTTCCAGTGAGGAAATGGCACTAAAGCAACCAATTTGAAACCTCCAGATATACAAAATTCAATCAGTACAGACCAGATATTAAGAAATTTAAGTACAAGTAAACCTGTGTTACATGGGCTTTCTGGATCCCAGTATGAATGCTTGAGGGCCAGATTGGGCAGCCTGCCATAAAGAATCATAGGCATTGCATGTCTCACCTCAATTTCTGGATTAATTTGTGCAGTGTTTATGGTATTAGTATAGATTTGTTTGAATGTTGCTTTAATTTTGATCACACACCAGTATATTAATTGAATAATTAATGATTTTCTTCCCATTTTCCATGTACCTGTTGTTTTTTTGCTGTTTCATCCATTAGCTTTATGCCCTGCTCAGAAAGGATACATGTTGCTGTAGCTGAGATGGCAGCACTTTTCCCAAAGGTAAGCTTTTAAAGTTTATTTTAGCTTTCTTGAAACAAAAATCTTGTTCTTCCAGTGATGTCAAGTTTGTGTGAAACTGTGTAAATTTGTCCAAAATGAAAAATAATACAATCAAAAAGTTTGATTAACAGCTTGTCTATTAAATCTGATAACTAAAAACTTCAAGTAACTACAGCAGCTGGTATGAGGTTAGAAGTAGTTAGCTCAGGTTGGAAATAACTGCAAAGAAGAGGGGAGTAGCATGAGTCTAGTGAAGACTAGAAAGTGAAAAACCTGAAAGGTAACTCATTCCATTCCTTTGTGATGTTATAGGGTGCTCTGTGTGTGGAATCTAGTGTGTCCTAGAGAAAGCTCAATTTAATGTTTATAAGTGATTTGACAACGTACATCAAGCAATGAAAATAATGAACTAAGGCAACTTTTTTGTGTCAAATGGGTTGGTCTAATACAGAGCCGGGAAAGTCTATAAATAGTCCAATTATTACCTTTAGTGATGGACCCGCCAGCATGACGGGTATCAAACATGGAGTGGCAAATCTACAACTAGGAGTTGATACAGTTCCCACTTGACACCAGATACATCCTGCAAGTCAGTGCTTTAATGGATAGGGTGGTCCTGACCAGAAAGCAGTTTGAAACTTAGTGCTGTTCTAGTAGTCTGTGTGGTTGGAACTGATTATTACCAATAATATAGCCAACTTGCCCTGTGGATTGAGGTTAATGGGATGTCTTGTTTAGAGGATTCACCTAACGAAGGGACAACGCTCCAAAAGTTTGTGATTTTCAAATAAACCTGTTGGACTATAACCTGGTGTCATCTGAATTCAGACTTTTGTCCACCTCAGTCCAACATCAGCATATTCACATTTTGTTCAGGAGAATGTGAATTCTGCATAAAAGCCAATTAATGAAAATGCTCTGGTCCAGCAGCCCACATAGAGGGAGAAACAGTTAAGTTAAGAGTGACTGTGAATGGCATCAAAGAGGACTAGCAAAACTGGAATCATTGGGAATCTGAGAAAACTATCCATAGTTTGGAGCTATACCTAATGCAAAAGAAAAATGATGTAGGCTGTCGGAGATCAGTCATCCCTGTTTCATGATATCACTGTAGGAGTTCCTTGGTGGTGTCCTAGGTTCAACCATCTCCAACAGCTACATCAATGACCTATTCTCCATTGTGAGGTCAGAAGTGGGCATGTTCACTGTACAATGTTCAACGTTATTTACAATACTTCAAATACTGAAGCAGTCCCTCTCCATATGCAAGAAGACCTGGACAACATCCAGGCCTGGGTTAACAAGTGGCAAGTAACATTTCACACACATGCCAGGTAATTACCATCTCCAACAAGAGAGAATCTGACCAACGCCCCTTGATATTCAATAGCATTATCGTTATTAAACCCCTCACTGTCAACATTGTGGGGGGGTTGGCAGCAGCGGTGGTGGGCTACCATTGACCAGAAACTCCTCCAGACCAGCCAGATGAATGCTGTGGCTTCAAGTGCAGGTCAAAGGCTAGGAATTCTGTGGCGGGTAACTCCCCTACCGTCTCCCCACTGTTTGTCCACCACCTAACAAGGTACAGGTCACGAGTGTGATGGAGTACCCTTCACTTGCCTGGAAGAGTGCATTTCCAGCAACACCTAAGAATCTTCACACCATCCAGGACAAAGTAGCCTGTTTGGCATCCATCCACCACCTTCAGCATTTACTCCCTCATCACCAAGGCACAGAAACAGCAGTGTATACCATCTATGAAATGCACTGCAGCAACTCTCCAAGACTCTTCTGATAACACATTCCAAATCCTTGATCTCTACCACCTAGATGAAGGAAGACAAGAGATGCAATGGGAACACCTCCACTTCCAAATTCCCCTCCAAGCTACATACCTTCCTGACTCAGAACTATATCGCTATTTTTTTGCTGTCACTGGGTTAAAATCCTGGAATTCCTTAACACCATTATGGGTGTCTGTAACCCCATGGACTGCAAAGGTTCAAAAAGGCAGCTCACCAGCACTTTCTTTAGGAATGGGCAGTAGATGCTGACCTAGCCAGTGACATCTCCTAATGTGCTGTACCTGAAAGTCTGCAATCTGTCAGAGGTTATATTATCCACTGAACTTGTGTTGATATTCATTAGGACAGTCTTGGAGGCTGAGGACTGATGTCTGAGTGAGAGTGGGACAGCCAGCTAAAATTCCGAACAATTGGAAGCTCTAGGTTATGCTTGCAAATTGAAAGGAAAGCAAAGGAATCAAACCATCTGCAGGACTTGCATTGTGAACAGCGATTATGGTATACTAACTTGAATGAAGTCTGACCCTCCCTCCAATCTCATCTTCACTCTGCCTCTGTGCATCCATAAAACCTAATAACGGTTTGTTTTCCTGTTCCAAGAAAATATCATTGACTATCTTGGTGTGGAAATTATGGTGATTAATTTTTATGCATATCAGCCCAACTGACTAAAGTTAAAGTTCTTGTATGTTCCAGTATTTTGCTGGACTTTTTTTTTTTCAACCACATTATCAGGACATTAAAAGCAATGTGTATGCTGTTCTGTTGATTACATGAACAGTTCATTTGTGTTGGGGGTAAAAATGAAGAATGCTTCTTCTCTCTCTTATTGTGCAGAAGCCTCGTTCAGAGATGGTTCGAGCCTCACTGAGGCTATTAACTTCGAGTGCATACAGACTGCAGTCAGAATGCAAGAAAGCACTGCCGATGGAACCCAGTCCTACAACTGACATTCAACTAATTACACAGCAAGTGATCCAGTGTGCATATGATATTGCCAAGGCAGCGAAACAACTTGTTACAATAACAACAAAAGAAAATAACAACTGATTAAAGCTTTTTCCTTTTTTTAATTGCAGAATTTTTTTTATAAGGAAGAAAATTGTTATGGAAATGTACCAGAATTGTTCTGGGCTTTCTGTCAGTATTATGTTTGCATGCTTTTTAATAACCTTATTTACCATTTTTGGATATTAAAATAACCTTCCTTCTGCCTGTATATTGGCAGCAGAGTTAGGCTCGTTTCTCGGGGTGCTATTTTCGTTTGACATCAACACCTACTGGCAATATATTGCTTTCTGGGAGTTTATATAAGCCTGATTACAGTTGGTTAGTATTGTGAATATAACTGAAGTATATTGATAACAGTAGAAATGTATAGAAACTTAAATTGCATTTCTTCCACATTACAGACCAACATATTTCATACATTATGCAAAGTAAGGGTAAATATTTAAAGTTGCTGCATTGGGAGGGGAGGTGGAAAATTTTGTATTCGCCAAAGCTATAAATAAGATTTTAATTACCGAGCAGTCTTGATTATGGTGCAAAGTCCATAGTAAGGGAAATAAACTAAAATTGAAGTGGGTATGATAGTGGGTCACAAAAATAAATGCATATTGGAAGGCGCTATCAAATTTGGGTTTAGAAAGTCTTGGATTGTAAGTGAGGGATGTACGAGTGGGTTAAAATCTACATGTTACGCATCGGGCTGCTATAGTGGTACAACTACCTAGGATTATCAAATTGACGAAGATTTTAGCTGAAACTGAAAGGCTATAAAAGGATTGCTGAGCACAATGTTTTTAATCCAGTGAAAGAATTTAAAGCAAGACTGTTATGTAAAGTGGAGAGGTGGACTGTAGGACTGTGGAGAAAGAGCCAGGCAATGGGACTAATTGGTAAATCTAGCATTGACTTGATGAGCTGATTGGTGCAAACAGAAGCAGGCCATTCAATGAGTTATGGATTGTTTCTAAAAACAGGTCGGCATTTAGGCTAAATCTGTTTTTTTAAAATTCTCACTTTTTTTTGTTTGGTCAGCAGACTGAGTTCTGTTATCACTGACATTAGCTTATACCAACATACTTTTCGATAAGTATTTTGGTTTCTTAAGAGTTTCAAAAGAGCATTAGAATAGCTTAAATATTTGCTAATGAATGCTTTTTTACATGAGTAAATTTAAACATATTCCTTCATTCAGCCATATGCACAACTTTTTAAATGAGCAGCTGTGTGAATCAGTAAATCAAATTGGTTAAAGTGCATATAAACTAAAAGCCATATTCATTGTTGTTTTCTGCAAACTGTACCTTGTAATATTACAGCTTGTGACCTACATGACTGACAAGTATGTATTTATGCAATATATAGCCAATCCTTTAATATTGATTATACCTCTTTCTGTGGAAGATATTTTACATCTTTGTGTTTTGCTTGTGTGCGCAGAAGCTATTTATCGTTGATGCCACACCTGTCATTCAGACAGCATTTTTTGGTTAGTTAATTTTATGGAAGGTCATTTATTTTTGGTTGGTAAACTTTTAATGTTGACTAAACTCAGTTAGCAGAACTGTAGTAAAACTTAGTCTATGTACTTTTCGGATTAAATTCTTGAATGTGAGAACCTGATTTCTGTAAAACTGCATCTCAGTCAGATATACTATATACTGTTCATAAAGCATGTGGGGTTTCAACCTTTGGAACCTACAGCGATTGAGACTAGCACCTAATTTGGATTCACGCAGCTGTGGCTTCCAAATCCTCTTGATGGTAAGTGAATTAAGAAATGTGGGAATTGGGAAGTCACCAAATTTTTGTGCAAGTGATTTTGAAATGGTTAAACTGGGCATCCCAGTCAACTTTGTATTGATTGAATCTGCATCTCGACTAATGCAATGCAAAATATGGTGTGGATTTGAACTGGCAGGACCAGTCTAGAAGTGCACTTCTTGCCAGCAACTCGCAAGTATCATTGTTAGCAGCTGTATTGGGGAAGAAGTGTTCCCAGGTCATTACAGTCACGTGTAAAGGAACATGATGGCAGAGTTTATGAACTTTCAGTTAGGATTTAAGTGGGTGTATGAAGATGTCAGTAAGATGATGTAAACGGGTTAATGTTTGTGACTGAGGCAAACAGATTAGTATATTTATGCAGGTTGTACTCAGGATCTTTTTATTTTGAACATGAAAAATGGAGAGATTATTTTCAGGCAAGGATGGATTTTGTGGTACTGTTTTGCAATATGAATTAAATATTCCTTAAAAATGACTACACGGGCATTGGCATTACAGACTACGGCATGAAATTTAGGCACCGATGTAGTTCTGGGGTGGAACTTAACAGATTAGTTCCAGATTTCTGAAGAAGGGTCTAGGCCCGAAACATCAGCTTTCCTGCTCCTCTGATGCTGCTTGGCCTGCTGTGTTCATCCAGCTCCACACCTTGTTATCTTAGTTCCAGTGTATGTCTGTTTTCTCTGTTCCAAAAACTTGCAGCCTTTGAAGCAGGTATATAATGTTTTTTTCACTTTTCTCTCCCTAGAGTGATTGAATCCCTACATACCTTTGTCATGTGGCTCTTGCTGTGTAATATTTGTGTCACTTCCAGCAGCTAATGGGTATATTGAAACCAACTAAGCATGGAACTGTGTACAGTTTGTAATGTGTTTACTCAGATTTAATAAATACATTATATGTACATACAACATCCAGATTCTGTTTTCTTCCTGTGTTCCTCTGTTCTTCAAACATTTGATGAACCTTGCAAAAGACCAGATCACTGCTCATGATATAATTGATTATTTAAATATGCAAAATTCAGAAGTATAACAACTTTTATTATATATCTTTATTGTTTAAATAAAAATTCAGAAGTGATTGATAGGAAAACTAAAACAAAATGACATGTCGGGTCAGACAACCAAAACCTTGCTAGAAGAGGTAGAACTTATAAAGGCCACATGCCTCAATCATGAATTATCAGGTTTCATGAACTGAGTACCCTCTTCTTTCACATAATGCTTCAATTATGTTCCAAATTTATTGCAAAGCAACAACTGGCTGACAGTAGTATTTGTTGCAGTGTGTCTCTATTTGTATGTCCAGTGTGGGCTACACAGTGTATACTCTGCTGTCTATTTTCAGGTTGTAGATTATACAAAAGCTTAATGTCATGGCCATTGCCTATCATGTCACAAGATTCTTTGAACTTAGCTGTAACATTTGAAACGACCAGGTGATCATGTCACCATATTCAACACAACATTTTGTGTAAATTTTTATAATGAAGTGAAAGCCACCTACCTGCTGCTGCTTCAAACACAGAATGTTGGAAACCCAGTCTCAACTGGGAATTGAATCCAGTTGCCATCATAGACAGAGTTTCACTATCAAACCTAGATTAAGGGGGGATGCATTAATGGGGGTTGGAAGCTGAAAGTCTGCTAATTAACTGATTGTGAAAAGCTGGGTGGTAGATGCAGGTTAATTTAGATAAATGTGAGGTGCTGCATTTTGGAAAGGCAGATCGGGGCAGGACTTACGCACTTAAAAAAGCAAAAGAACTGCGGATGCTGTAAATCAGGGACAAAAGCAGCAGTTGCTGGAAAAGCTCAGCGGGTCTGGCAGCATCAGTGAAGACAAAAAAAAAAATCAGAGTTAACGTTTCGGGTCCAATGACCCTCGGAACACTTATGAGGAAGGGTCACTGGATCCGAAACGTTAACTCTGATTTTTTTTTTTGTCTTCACAGATGCTGCCGGATCTGCTGAGCTTTTCAAGCAACTTCTGTTTTTTTGTTCCTGATTTACACACTTATTGGAAAGGCCCTGAGGAGTGTTGCTGAACAAAAAGACCTTTGGAGTGCAGGTTCATAGTTCCTTGAAAGTGAAGTTGCAGGTAGATAGGATAGTGAAAGTGGTGTTTGGTATGCTTGCTTTTATTGGTCAGTGTATTGAGTATAGGAGTTGGGACATCGTATTGCAACTGTACAGGACGTTGGTTAGGCCACTTTTGGAATACTGCATGCAGTTCTGGTCTTTCTCTATAGGAAGGATGTTAGAAAGGGTCAGAAAAGATTTACAAGGATGTCGCCAGGACTGGAGGGTTTGAGCTACAGAGAGGATGAATAGGCTGGGCTATTTTCCCTGGTCTGGTGGAGGCTGAGAGGTGACCTTTATAGAGGTTTATAAAACCATGAGGGGTGTTAATAGGGTAAACACTCAAGGTCTTTTCCCCAGAAGTTTAAAGTGAGAGGGGAAAGATTTAAAAGGGACCTAAGGGGCAACTTTGTCCATGCAGAGGGTGGTGTGTGTGTGGAATGAGCTGCCAGAGGAAGTGGTGGAGACTGGTATAATTACATCATTTAAAAGGCATCTGGATTGATATATGAATAGGAAGATTTTAGAAGGACATGAGATAAATGCTGGCACATGGGACGAGACTTATTTAAAATATCTGGTTGGTATGGATGAGTTGGACTGAAGGGTCTGTTTCCATATTGTACACCTCTATCACTCTAAAGAGACTTGGACTGAAGGGGGAAGCAATGTCGGTACAGGAGGGTTCCTGTACAGGTTATCATCGTCACCTTATCACCTGCCCTGGATTTTTCTATAAAGTATGGCCTAATATTATAACCATAGTTCTCAGGCTTGTGTCAATAAACAGCTATTGAAATTGGAAGCATCAGCTTTTTTTTCAACTGAGACAGCAAACAAAATTTGAACAGTAGGAGACTTAAATGATTTGTCATCTTGATAGCACCCAGATCTGTCCATCCTTTAAATGGATTGTTGTCTACTATTAACAATCCCAAAAGGGTACCTGACCCCTCCAAAGAACTCTGGTGGTTTTGGAGTAGATTTGTAGCTCGGGTTGTGGGTGTTGCGGTTGGTTGGCTTGCCAAACTGGTTCGTTGTTCCGCAGATGTTTCATTACCCCACTGGGTAACATTATCAGTGCAGCCTCTGATGAAGCGCTGTTGTGTTTTCCTGCCTGGTTTTTTAAACTCTGGAGTCCGTTGAGCTGGATTACCTCACTTCCAGTTTTCCTTCATAGTGGAGTGTATACGGGGTCGAGTACTATATTTGTTGATGGCTTTCTTCGTGGAGTACCAGGCTTCTAGGAATTCCCGTGCTTGTCTCTGCTTTGCTTGTCCCAGGATCTTGGTGTTGTCCCAGTCGAATTGGTGGTTCTCCTTATCCATGTGAATAGAGATGAGTATTGGTCGTGTCTTTTTGTAGCCAATTGGTGTTCGTGTACCCTTGTTAATTTCCTTCCTGTTTGTCCGATGTAGTGTTTGTCACAGTCTCTGCAGGGAATCTTATAGATGACATTGGTCCTGTCCATAGTGGTCTTTGGTTTGAGTGAGCAGTTGTCATAGGGTTGATGTGGGTTTGTGTGCCACTCTGATGCCCAGCGCTCATAGCAGTCTTGTGGTTAGTTCCGATGTGTTCCTGATGTAAGGTAGCATGATGAGTGCGTCAGGGCATGTAGTATCTTCTTGGTGTTGTTCATGTAGGCATCTTCTGACCCAGTTTTTTGGATATCCATTATCTTTGAATACCTGGAAGAGGTATTCTTCTTTTTGGCGTAGTCCTGTGCTGTTGCAGTGTGTTGTAAATCAGGAACAAAAACGAAGTTGCTGGAAAAGCTCAGCAGGTCTGGCAGCATTTGTGAAGGAAAAAGCAGAGTTAATGTTTCGGGTCGACTGGCCCTTCCTCAGAACTGTTCTGAGGAAGGGTCACCGGACCCGAAATGTTAACTGTGTTTTTTCCTTCACAAATGCTGCCAGACCTGCTGAGCTTTTCCAGCAACTTCATTTTTGTTCGCGGTCTAACTTGTGCCTTGCAGGTATTTTTAATCAACCTGTTCAGACGTGTTAAAGATACACACTAGAGCAAGTGGGACTTGAACTTGGGCCTTCTGGCACGGAGACAGGGATATTAGTACTGTGCCACAAAAGCCCCTAACTAGTACCTTGTATAGTTTTAACAAGACTTTCCTACTTTTTATAGTCCATTCCCTTTGAAATAAAAGCATATGGAGTAGAATTTTCAATCCCTTCATGGTCTTTTATTCCTACCCCCCCATCATTGTAACCTTTTTAAGCTCTAACTGCCCCAGAACTTGGCATTTGACTGATTCTGTTTGTGTATTCTTCATTCCATCAGTGGTCGTACAAACTCCCATTTAGCTCCAGAATTCCCTTGCTTAACTTGTGCATTTTTCCTTTGATTCTCCTTAAAGCTGACACCTGCAACAAAGCTTTTATTCATTACTCCTAATGTCATATTTACTTACCTGCATTATTGATTTGATGGATGTCTATGAGGCATCTTAGGTATTTTTCCACACTATATAAAATGCAAGATATTATTGAGTTATACAGTTAAGGGTTTCTGATTTGGTTGTTAGCCAATCTCAAGCAGATGGTAGAAAAACAGGAAGTCCTGGTAAAGCCCAGCAGATCTGGTAGTATCTATGGACAGAGAAAGAGAGTTAACATTTCCAGTCCAGTATGATGATTCTTCAGAGTTAGGATGGCACTGGGTACGCGACACCCAACCTTGAGACTGGGAAGAACAATCTTTGAGGGGTGGATTGCCTGATTTCTATCTGTTGGAAATCCTCCTGCAAATATTAATCAGAGTGCAGCTACACTACCCAGTTTGGCTAAATAGTCTAAGCCTCAGACATAATGAATCAGCACAAATAAATGGGACAGGAAAAAAGATATGGCAAAAGAAGTACATCCCACTATTTTACACAAGAGCTTTTATTCATAAAACGATAACTAATTAAAATATAAATAACATTCACAGCTTCAAATTGTAATTGTTTTTCTGTTTCATGATCATTGCCCCTAAAATGAAATGTTGCAAGTACAAAGCGTAGAAAACGAGCTGGAAGCTTTTAATAAACTTAAATGCTATATTACAAACATCAATAATTCAGTCAAAGCAAGTAAAGAGACACTTGTTGGCTTCCCGGGCTGGATTTCAGAGCCATCAAGAGTACAAGTGAATTGGCAATTAATCAGTTGAATGGTTATACTAGAAGCGCTTTTAAAGGTTTTAACAGTCTGAAATTTAAATGGTACTCCTGAGTGTTGTATTAAATAAACGGCTAGGAACAGTCACTGTTCCTAATTAAGTGAAGTCACCTTTCTCACACACTAGTTCCATCAACACCAAGTGGATAGACTGAGCGATGGGAATATTTTTGTAACAAGACCCAAATAACACTTAAGACTTGCATTGCTATTTACAAAGAGCTAAGACCTCAAAGCCTCAAGTTGCTCAATATTTTCTGAAGGATTTGTTTAATTTCTGCTTCAGTTCTGGTTTATTTTAAATTCTGACTCAGCAAAAGATTTAAAATCTTTTTCTAATGTTGCATTTTGCCTGTGAAAGTGTACTGAAGCAAGATTCCAAGATGTTTCCAAAGGCATGACGCAAATGCCCTTTCCATGTTGAAAGGATTCATGCCAAATGAAATCTATCCTATTTCCAACTGCAAAGCAGCTAATTTAATCTAAATTGATGCTTCACAACACTTCAGTCAATCAGAATCAATTTGCCAAGCAGTCGTTCTTCTATAGTATAAATTGTTGTGATCATTTGAATGTTTGGCATTGTCCTGATAAGATCAAGACACACAGTTTCAGTAACTTGTCTCTTTTCAGTAATAAAGTGGAGCTGTTAATGGGCAACATTAAAATTCAACTAACGTCTGCACTTTTGATCCCTGTTTCACTCCGGGCCTTTGGGATGTATTCCCATGACAAAAGTGAGCAGTTAACCTACAACCGTGACCTATCCAGTCAACAGTTTACCTCCCCAGTTTTAGCTGGCAAATTATTCAGCAATGTGATACAATGGAGCAGCCTTGTGCTGGAACGGAGGGTTGATAGCGTAATATTTCTACCTTCTTACCCACAGAAGTGGTCAGAAGCTGCTTACTGAAAGTCAGAAATCATTTTTAAAATATTCAGAGCGAGACAAACGTGCACCCAGCACTAGTTTGTGTGATAGTCAATGTATAGATATTGACTGGGTGAATAACGTTAAACAGTTTCAGCTTGATGGTCTTTAATTTGAGGGATTAAACAGCATAGCAGGAAATTCCAGATGAAGATACTGGCTCTGTATTGAAATGTGCTCACTTACTTTTTGAAGATTTAGAGCTTGACTAAGTAAACAAAAAAGGTTAAAATTCATATCAAAAACAATTTATCACTAACCTTACGTTCAGGAATGTTATCTAGAATCAGCTGTGTCCCCTAGATCATTAAATTAGAAATATTAATATATTTTGCATCAATATTTAGATATCTACCAACAAGCTTACTATTCTTGTTCTGAAATCTCCAACTATGTTAAATTTTGTTAAACCACGTTGACTCGCAAATCTGCACTTTCTTCCTCGATACTTAACTAGCCTCCCAATTCACTCCTATTTCATAGTACTAATGTCAATCTTCCATCTCTTGCAATCCCTGATTATCTCCTTTCCTAGTCCTCCAAACCCATTCCTTAATCTCTCCAACTGTTTTTCCCTTCCCTTCCACATTAAAAAAGGTGAGGGAACAGCAGGGAGTAGAATCAGGGTCACATAAAACAAAGCAAAAGTCTCGTCACCTGATAACTAATGTGCTCACCCAGCTCAAAAATGAAACTGTTGCTGTATAGCAACGTTAATTCCTAATCTGGGAAGTAAGTGAGAAACTGAAGGCCATTGGGATATCAAACTGACGTCAGCAGTGCTCCAGCATACCCAGACTGCTAATGTAAAGCTCGTGTATACTTTCAACAAGAATTAAAAACTTTCAAATTTAAGACAATGTAATGAAATCTTTCGGTCCTACATAACTGGCCATTTGAATTTGGTGTTCAGTGGCTTATTGCAGCCATAAACAATGAACAACATTAGGCTGGTCTTGCAAACATGAACAAACTGCAGTACACATAAAAGGATCAGGGAGCTTTATGTGTTGAAGATTTTACTATCTGGTAATGTTTTCTAAGCTGCCGGAACTCAAAGTTTCATATCTACCCACTGGTCAACTTTTCACACACATTGCTTCCTGTTGAATTATGCCTTAGTTCCACATGATGAATCGTGTTGCTTGGTCAACATTGGATGAAGTGTACTTGAAACACATAGTTACAGAGTTCTTTATTCTTCTGTGATCCTTCTTTTTCACTTATTTACTGGATGAATTGGACAAAGTCCGAAAATTGTAGGCTTCTCATTTCACCCTGGTGCGAGTATTAATTAAGACTGGGACTCCCTGGTTAAGACTCCTTTAATTAATTTTGCGATTAACATATTAAGTCCTTGAGATGATCTATCAGCAGATGACTCTCACTTGTGATGTGGGACATAAATTTATTTACTTGCTGCAAAACTGTTGGAATACAGTGAATCAGAATGCAGATTAAAGGGATTGAGGATTATTTCTAGATTCTAGACAGCAGAATAACATGAATATGTGTACCAATCACTCAAACACCCACTACAGAACAAACTATCCTCCTGGCAACGAGCAAGCACTAAGTCCTGTGAACCATTTATATTTAATGTGTACTAATCACAGGCCAGCAATGCATAGAGCGAGCGAGATCCTTAGAGATTTAATCAGCTCTGTGGTTTACATGAACTCCAGTCTAAATCTCCGAGTTGAGCTTCTCCTTTTCCTAAGTGCAAATTATCTACAACCAAATCCATCACATAAAGGGAATGAAAACTTGCTCTATCTGGTTATAGTGATAGAATCAAGTAACAAGGATTTGGTTCAGATACTCAATCCATTCCAAGGCAAGACTCTATTTTCACAAGCCAGTCTTATATGTCTCAGCTTCTGAGCTATGTCCAGGCTATTCTTGGTCGGTGGAACATCTAAAAAAATAAAGAACAAGAGCAATAAACATCAGGTTTCCACTTTTCTTTAAAAGACGGCTTAGCTTAGAGTATCAGTACCACATTAGATAGCATTTTGCCAACTGAGCCACTGCAGTGCTCCAGGCATCCATTCTAACTGTGTATAGTTACCTTTGGCTCATATCCTCTCTGCCTCATCAGCTTAGCCTCATGTTGAAGCATTTCTTCTTGTTGTCTTTCTACAAGCCTTTCATCATTTTCCTCCTCCTGTTGGCGTTGTAACTCTTCCAACTCCTGCCTCCTCCGCTCTTCAACCTATGATAAAAATTAAAGAAACAGTTAGTTATTAAAAACTGCATTTACCAGTCCTATAAGAGATAACAAGGTGTAGAGCTGGATGAACACAGCAGGCCAAACAGCATCAGAGGAGCAGGAAGGCTGACGTTTCGGGCCTAGACCCTTCTTCAGAAATGGGGGAGGGGAAGGGGGTTCTGAAATAAATAGGGAGAGAGTGGGAGGCAGATAGAAGATGGATAGAGGAGAAGATAGGTGGAGAGGAGACAGACAGGTCAAAGAGATGGGGATGGAGCCAGTAAAGGTGAGTGTAGGTGGGGAGGTAGGGAGGAGATAGGTCCGTCCAGGGAGGACGGACAGGTCAAGAGGGCGGGTTGAGGTTAGTAGGTGGGAGGTGGGGGTGGGGCTTGAGGTGGGAGGAAGGACAGGTTAGGGAGGCGGGGACGAGCTGGGCTGGTTTTGGGATGCGGTAGGGGGAGGGGAGATTTTGAAGCTTGTGAAGTCCACATTGATACCATTGGGCTGCAGGGCTCCCAAGCAGAATATGAGTTGCTGTTCCTACAACCTTCAGGTAGCATCATTGTGGCACTGCAGGAGGCCCAGGATGGACATGTCGTCTGCGGATTGGGAGGGGGAGTTGAAATGGTTCGCGACTGGGAGGTCCAGTTGTTTAGTACGAATTGAGCGTAGGTGTTCTGCAAAGCGGTCCCCAAGCCAGTCCTATGTTGTCCCGTACTTTTGTCCATTACTTATCAACAGCATGAAAGAGCTCTGCACAGATTACAACAGAGATTACAAGATCTCGCTGGAATTAAAATAGCCCTGCAGGACTTGCTATTATCATATTAGAGTACCCTCATTGATCATTGACTATACTTCCACCCTGATTCCCATTCTCCTGAAGATGCTGGAAGGTGGGTGGAAGGTAGGCAGTGGAAATTTACCTGCATATTTTTACTTTCTTTCTGCGAGCTTTGGCTTCTCCTCATTGTTCCACCAACTCATTGTGTAAAGAAACACAGGAGAGAACCTACATTTCACTGCCGTTTGCACCACAGTGTGTTTCCCTGGTTCACTCACCAAAGCCAAATTTAGCATGAATGTGACAAAAATCAATTAATTTCGTTGACCATCTGAACAATCTTTGGTGCATGGCTGTTCTCAGTATCTCCGAGGAACAATACATTACACCCTGTACACTGGCTCACTTAAATACTCAATCGCCAAAGAACATTCATCAGGACCACACTCAGATGATTAATGTTTGTTAATCAATAGATTTGAACATCAAACCTGTGCTGCAAGTTCCTGCTTGCGGGCAGTTTTCAGCTCCTCCTCTTCCGCCTTTTCACGCTTTGTCGTTTCTTTCAGTTCCTCTAGCTCCCGGATCAGGTCCCCGCGACGCTGAACCGATTCCTCCTGAGCACGTCGATTCATGTCAAGCCTCTCCAGGACTTGCTGCTGTCGTCCTACAAGTACCTAACGAGATGATCACATTAAATACTCTTTGTAAACTGTCCAATTTAGGCTTTAAGGTCAGGTAATGCCCATTTTAATCTATCTGGACAATTTATATCTTAAACCTAACCTCATCACGCATGTGAGATTTCTTACTCTTCTCACACCAGTTACTCAATGAATTCTCTGAGCAATTTTACCATCTAATACTATTTAGTTCCCTACAAACTCTGGGAAGTTTTGGCTCATCCTTATTTTGCATCATTAGTAGACATGTCTGATTATTTCCAACCATCTACACAGTTTCTTCAGGGGTTCCATTAATCTCCTGGAAAAGTAACATCAAAAATCATGACAGCTCCTAAAGAATTTTCAAGCCAACATGCCAAGGAGAAATAGCACATGTAGGAACAGTCTCAAGTACGACTATAAAGAAAGAGTCTAGAGATGCCAGTCTGGTTTTGACTAATATCTAGTAATCTTTCAAACAACTTTAGGCAACTGGAAAAGTTCAAAGTTTTGGTAAAGATCTGTACCTCGTGTTGTGGGTGAGGTTGTTGACTTGCTCGCCGAGCTGGCTTGTTCTTCTTCATGTTCATGAGGGAGAACAAGCCAGCTCAGCGAGCAAGTCAACAACCTCAAGTGGAAAAGTTATCTGTGGATTTTGTCTCAAGAGTCTGTTTTAGACATCCTCAAAATATCTTCCAAACCTGTGACCTACCATCTAGAAGGACAGGAGAAACAGATACACAGGTCATCACCACCTATAAACTTGAAACAAAAACAGAAACTCAGCAGGTCAGGCAGCATTTGTGGAGAGAAAGCAGGGTTAATGTTTTGGGTCCAGTGACCCTTCTTCAGAACTGACTGTAGCGAGGAAAAGGTCAGTATACTGAAGTTGGGGTGGGGGAGGGAGGGAGGGAGAGTAAACGATAGGTGGAGATGGAGCCCAGAGAGAGAATAATAATTGGACAGACAAAGAAAACAGTAAAGATCAGCCTGGGAGCACCAATAGTTGCTAAAAGGGACCATTAGTGGTTGGCAATGGTTTGATTGTGGTAGCAGCCCATATGATGTCAAGGTCTGGTGTGTGGGGATGGGGGATGGGAGGATATGGAAGAGGGTGCTCAGACCCTAAAATTACTGAACTCGATATTGAATCCTGAAGGCTACAGGTTCCCCTTGCACGAAGCTTTGCTGGAGCACTGCAGCAAGCCCAAGACAGAGATGTTGGCAAGGAATACGATAGCGTTTCAAAGTGGCAGACAATCTGAAGCTCAGGGTCATTTTTGCCAACAGAACATAGGTGTCCTGCAAAGCGATCACACAGTGTGCATTTCTTCTTCCCATTTTAGAGGAGACCACATCGTGAGCAATGAAAACTGTAGACTAGATTGAGTGAAATGTAGGTATATCACTATTTTACTTGAAAGGCATATCTGGGTCCTTGGATAGTGAGGAGGGAGGAAATAAATGGGCAGATTTACACCTTCTACAACTGCATAGGAAGGTGTCCTGGGGCTGTGGGAAGGTGTTTGGAGTGGGGAAGGAATGGACCAGGACATCCTAGAGGGAACGGTCCCTGCCAAAGGCTGACAAGGGAGGAGAGGGGAATAATAGCCTGGTGGTAGCATCTCGCAGGAGGTGGCAGAAATGGTGGCTAATGATCCTTTGGATGTGGATGCTGTTGGGGTAGTAAGTGTGGTTTGTTGTACAGAACTAGTGTATTGCTAAAAAATGACATTTTATCAAAGATTTACACTCATCAGGGCAATTCACAAGACTATCAATTTAAGAGGAAAACCAACATTTACACTGCATGACAAGGGAATGCTGATTGGTTGGCAAGTAGACTCTGGTTGCCATTGGGGAATGCGCTGATTGATTATGATTGACAGTTAATTGCCAGGATTTAAGTTTTCAATCAGGCAGGTTGACTCTGATTGAATAGGACATTGATATGAGAAATTAACCAGTAAAATGGCTGTCACTTATTTTGTAGAACTGAAACAGGTGCAGTTCATGTGTATAAGATAACAAGGTGTAGAGCTGGATGAACACAGCAGGCCAAGCAGCATCAGAGGAGCAGGAAAGCTGACGTTTCGGGT